TTCCTGTGTGGGGTTAATTAAGAAGTCCTGGGCCAGGGTCTCAAAAGGACACTGAGATTTTCCTGGGAAAAAGTGTGGCCTAGAATTGTACAGGAAAGAGACTTTGAAGACTGTGTAGAGAGCCTGACAGACTTGAGTTACAATCAGCCCTGTTAAATGAATTGAGTTCATAAGTAAAGGGCCCACTATATTAACCGTAAGAGAAACAAATCACCAATTCTGAAAAATCACATAATAGGAATCTACTGGGAGGCCTTTATATGAAAGTGCTTTTATTTTTGTAGCTGTCTTTAATTTACTTGTTTGGATTTCTGCTGTCTCTCCTGCAGACTTTAAATTATTACTTGTCTATGTAAGGTTTGCTTTTGAACTCTCACCAACTCCTGAATATGTCAAGTGTCTCTTCTAACAACACTACACCTCCTCTAGAGTTTTAGTTTTTTATTGTATTTAATATACTTTCCAAAGCTGTGTATAATCTTTTTTTTTTTTTCTTTTGGTACTGGGGATAGAACTCTGGACCTTGCACTTGCAAGGCAGGCAGTGGAACCACTGAGCTAAATCCCCGGCCCCACTGTGTATAATATTCAAGTGGTCCTTTGGCTTAGCAGGATTGACTGTATGAATTTAGGAAATCAATCTCTAAAGGCATGTTCTGAAAATGCCATCAATAAAACATCCTTATAAAATTCTTTGCCCTGTGTACATTAACAAAGTACAAAGAAATATAGTCATGTTTTTACTAGATCTTTAGTTTCAAAATTTACAAACCCATTTTAAGTGATGGTCATTATTACTCTAAAACCTCAATAAGAATATTCCATTATCATCTCCATTGTATGAGTAAACAAGACACCAAGGATCAGTGATTTAACCAAGTGAAAGCTAGTATGTGGTGGGGTTGGGATTAAAATGTAGACAGTTGATCTTGCACACTTGCTGTGGGCCTTTGTCTTATACAGTCTTTGCAGATAAGAGAAAGTGACTGTTTTCGAAGATAAACTTGTCATGCACATAAACCTCTGAAATATTGCTTTATGTATTCCAACTTCAAACAAGAAGATTCATTATTAAGCAAGTTTACACAGTCTAACACTTTTTCTCATTAAACATAAAATTATATTAGCCAAATCTTTTAAAACTAGCTTTTTCTTGACTACTGATTGTTAAAAATGTTTGTATTTTAGAAAAACAAATGAAAAAGAGATAGACTTTTTAAAATGTAAAAAAACCCATTATTTGGGGTTTTTTTTCATTGAGTTTATTGGCACTTTTTAGGTATTCATTACGGTTACATTCATCATTGAGATCTTGTACCTTTACTGACAGATCTTGGTTCTCATTTTTTTCCCCATACCACTGCCCTCCCTTCACCCCCTCCACCCTTCCCTATTTACAAAAAAACTTTGTTTCCAAATTTTTCATTTTCTCATATTTTTTCTTTTTCTTTCTTTCTTTTCCCCTACCTTTCCCACTTCCCTTGCACCTTTAGACCTTTCCTTCCTACTTCACATTATCAGTTATACAATTTGGATCTTATTTACACTTTTAGTTTTTCACACCAGAGAAACTATTTGGTATTTCCATATGTGCATCCTATTTATTTCACTCAATATGCATCTGTTTTCCTATGAATGATTCTAATTTCTCATTCTTTATGGCTGAGTAATATTCCATTTTATAGAAAAACCACATGATCTATTTATCCACTCTCCAATTGATGGGCAAATGGGCTGTTTCCAAGTTTTAGCTATTACAAACTGTGCCGCTATAAACATGGGTGCACATATTATTGCTGTGGTATGATTCTTTTAAATCTTTTGGAAAGATACCCATCAGAGGGATAGCTGGGTAAAATGGAACCTCTAATCCTAGTTGAAAAAAACATAATTCGATGAGTGAGAATAATGAGGAATTGATCATTCAGTTGTTTAAAAAATACTTTCCGTGACTTTGTGGTGTAGGTATTGAAACAGTGTGAACAAAGACTTGCCAACAAATGAAAAAGAACAGCAATTTAGTATTTTCAGTATACATCACATTTCTTGATTTATAAATGCAGGAATGAAATCATGTAAGTGGAAAGTTTTTAAAATTATTGTTCATTTACTGCAACAGACTGAATTTTAAAATGTAGTAAATGAAGGGGGAGGAAATGGAAGATATAGATCAAAAGATTCAAAGAAATAGACATGTAGGACCAGTAAGGCTACAGGTCAATCATACAACATAGTAAAATTGTTGGAAAAATTGTAATAGAGACTTTCATTAAGTAAATAGATTTTTAACTGCTCTTGTTAAAAACAACTCTGACATAATAAAATATGTTAATATTGACACTATATTAATTTAATTTTAATTTGACATGATAAAATATGTTCATTCATATCACTTTATACCATTCTGCCACAAATGTGAATCCTATAACATCATGTTATAAATCTCAAATAAATTTATTTAAAATAAATAATACAAATAAAAGGAAAAAATATTGTAAACAGGATAAATTTTCCATTTCCTGGGCATAATGTTACTTTCAATGCTAACTTTAAAATAATTTGATTTTTCAGTTAATATTTCTAAGGGGTCTTGAGTTTCTTTCAAATGCTATATTGGAAATATATTTAAGAAGGACACTTAAATGGGTTGCAATGTGTCAATAATGAGTGAAAACTTGAGACAAGGGCATCATAGCTGAAAAAACATGAGCACAACATGTTAACAAGTTTTCAACTCACAGGGCGTTCAAGAAGTCCAGTTAATCATCAGTCACGATGTCAGATGTAAGTGCAGAAAGTCCGTCATAGCACTACCCAGTCACATGGTAGTTCTCTGTGAGGACCTACCTGTTAACAAGAGCATAGTCTTGGCGGGAGTGGGAATTTGCTGGGTTTTGAGCCTAGGGCCTCATGCATGCTAGGCAAGCACATTGCCACTGAGCTGCACCTCAGACCCCTCTTCTGACTTTTTAATTTTTTATTGGTGGAGTATTCACAGTCTTCTCACTAAATAATTGGCAAAATTGCTTTAATCTTGACTATCACCGAGGCAAGCTATAGTCATTGTTTTGTAACTATGCATGTCTGTGCATGTCTGGGGCTTCATTTCGATATTTTAAAAAAGCACATAGAACTCCATGTAATCTAGCAGTTACCCTTTTAGTATCGATTGAGAAAACACATGTGAACAACAGCTACTATGAATGAAGCAATGATTTTAAATGTATTTATATTTTATTAAGAAAAATAAACATGCATTTTAATAATAATACATATATGTGAGAGACATGGTATTGCTATAGCTACACCTGGGTTATAAGCGAATCTATTACTTCTTTGCAACAGTTCTGCTTCTGCCCTTGGCTGCAGCAACCACTTCAGGAATGAAGATTCTCCAGCACGGAGACACCAAGCTCAGTGTCCTGAGCACCCCTGCAGGACTTCTACTCCATTGTGACTTGTACTTACGTCCTAATGAGTCCATTCCAAAGGTACCTGTAGCTCTGCAGTTATTTGGTGTGCATTTGGCAAAGTAGTCTACAGATGATTTGTAGGAGTAAATGAAGTGCATAAGACAAGAGTGATTCTGCTCTAGTGGTCTAGTTCATTTGGGGAAAAAAATAAACTAGTAGCTTTGAGCAAAATATTCTCTGTATGAAGGGCTAATAGAGAACAGAAAAACAAGCCAAAAAAAAAAATAGTTTGGAAGTGTACTCTCCACTGATTGTGGATAAGAGCTTCAAGACATCTCCAGTCAGGACTGATTTTTGCAGTCAATTCCCCTGAAGATTACATTGTGCATGTGAGAGTGAGCAGTATATATGCTAAGTGTCTTATGATTTTTTTCCTTATCCTTATATAAGTGGCGGTATAAGTTTACATTTGCAGCCGAGAGAAGGAGCACACATCTGTATAAAGAGACCACTCACTCACAATCACAGCAGCACAAGCTCTGAGCTGCCTCTGAAAGAATGAGAACAAAAGACCTCTGCTGTGATCATGTAAAAATGTGGTCAGTAGACCTGTTCTCTGACAGGATGGTCTGAACCACAGACAGGCATCTGCTATGAAGACTTTCACATTCCTTTTGTCCTCTTCTACCTCGAATCTTCTATTTCTCCTAAATACGCTTGACTCTCATTTCAAAGATAATCGGTACACTGACACGAAACATCTTCCTCTCATGCAAAGTGTCTCCATCTGGTCCATCTCTGAGTACATAGCACTTAATGTTTGTGGAACTATTTATTGATTTACCTTTGCTTTTAATTTCATAAAACAAGTTTGTTTCCAAATAGCCTGTGAAGCTCTGCTACTTAAAGATTTAAGGCAGTGATTCAAAGACGTGAGAACAAACCACCTTATTGTTAGTTTTCTTTCAAAATTTTCTATCTCTTGAAACATACACCATATTTTCAACCAACATGAATTTAAATGTACACCTGACGAAAACACTAGAGCGACTTTAGAATGTGTGGTACTGGTTTGCTATCTTGAACTTGGTTGTCTTTGACTCATTCACTTCAATATGTATATGTCCAGTGTCATATACAGTACCTGTCTATAGTAAAAACTCAAAGGTGAAAATGTGCTAATTTGAATTGGCTTGTTTTTATCAAATCCTTACTTTACTTCAAATTACTCAAAAGAAGTACAGCTTTCCCCTGTCACTGTGTAATTTGAACAACTATACACTGATCAGGAGTGTGGAAGTAACTAAACAGTTCTGAACTATTTGAAACTAGTAGCAATTTCAGAGCAGGTGGTAGAAAATTAGAGAGCCATTAAAGAATACTAAAGAGGAAAGATTCAACAAGTCTGACTCACCTGTCACCGGTTTCTAAAAAGTGTCAAGATCCAGATGACAAGTGATTTAGAGCAACTATTGAATCAGACCCTCCTACTTGGTAAATGATTACTGTTGCCTCTCCAGATCTAAGTGTTTATGTTTCCACTTAATTTCAATTCTAACATACTTTTGAAGTCCTTGTGGTTATCTTTTTAATCTATATCTGCTTCTTCCAAAAATAAATTTGTTGTTGATGAATCACTCCTTAAGATTTTGCCACTTACAATAAGCTTTATTGCCTTTCAAAACCACAGGTAAAAAAAGCATATATCAAGGGGTTCGTAGCTGAATTATAATAAACACACCACGCTAATACATCATACACATACGGAGGAGTTAGGAAGTTCATATAAGCATCAATAATGTATGGTAGCCAAGAGACTAGGAATGCTGCCACAGCAATGCCCAAGGTTTTGGTGGCTTTTCTCTCTCTTTTTGCCACTCTTTCCTTGTAACTTTCTGAGGAGGACTGAGCCTGGCCAGCTATACTTTCTGTTTTCCTAACCTGATGCTTAGCCACCAAAAATATCTTACCATATGTAAATACCATGGCAACAGTGGGTAGAAAAGACAGAAGAAAACAAGGCAGAACCCAATTTTGATTCAGGGGAGCCCGACAATATCCCACACAAGTCAGAGCAACTATTAATTCCTCAATTCTTTCTTCATTGGCCCCAGTGTAAAAGATAGAAAAACTATAGGTAACTGAAAAGAACCAAGAAAGAATGATGCATATTCCCGAAATCGATCCAGTGAACTTGGTTGGATAGGACAGAGGGTCTGTTACAGCAATGTATCTATCAATAGAAATGCAGCACAAATGAAATAAAGAGCCAAAACAGAAGGATGTGTCAAAGCACGTATGGAATTTACAGTAACTCTCCCCAGAGTACCAGCAGCCCTCCACAGACCTCACAGGGCTGAAGGGCATCACAGTGACTCCTACCAGGAAGTCAGCGCAGGCCAGGGATGCAATCAGAAAGCTTGTAGGTGTGTGCAGCTGCTTGAAGTGAAGAACCGCAATGCTGACCAGCAAGTTTCCAAACATGGCCAGCACAGCCCACAAACCAAGGACTGCATACAGAATCGCTCGAGGGCCTGGGGAATAAGAGGCTTTAATGCAGGATCCATTCTAGTTCTCATAGCAGAGCTCCACAGCGTCAGCTTGGGAGAAATTCCGCACCATTACCTTCTTGCTTGAATTATTTTAAAGTTTCCAAATTCCCGACTTCAACAATTGAAAACAAAAAAGAGACGGCAATTTCAAAGCCTTCTGGGAGAGGAAAGAGTCTCTAGTTAAAATGAGAGTTACTTCTACAACACATTTTAGCATATGATCTATCACCCTTTAAACTCTTCAAAAATTCTTTTCAAGTTTTAAATGCATTTCGAGTAGGAATTCATTGCACAGAGTCATTCAAAAATACAGTTAAATATATGGCTAAGTAAATAGCTGGCAACGCATATAGTCCAATATACAATTAGCAAAATACATCTTATTATATATAGATGTATTTTGCTAATCTTTGGAAAAGCTATTGTGTGTGTCACTTTACCTTTTGAATGTCTCATCTATTACCACCTCAGTTGAACAATTGGGCTTCCAAAGGCTGAGTTTTATTTACAAAGATATGTCCCTGAGTGGCCACTTCAACTGTAATGACATGCTAGAGTCCATTTTTTTCAAGAAGCAAGAAATAAATTACATCTTCAAATTATAATCTCTAAATCCCTACAGTATCAAGTGTGAAGACTAAGGAAGAGTTGACTCATAAGAGCTTTAAATATACTTTAGGAAAACGTTTCTTCGATTGCTTATATTTTCAGAATTTGTTTTTATTTCCTTTTTACTTATTTGTGATTTGGACAAATCATTTAAATTGATTTGGAGAACTATTCTTATCAAACTGATGCTAAGATAATCCACGTAAAAGTATTCTTCAGGCTAATAGCCAATTTTAATTATCTAAAACCAATAAGAATTTCTTAAAATAAGTAATAACTTGGCCTAGCACCTTACCTCTCAATCCTTAAAGAAACAATCTAGATTTAAACCTACCAGAGGGGAGTAGGCAACAGCTAGAGTGGTAAGTTAGTCAAGTTCCTGAACATGTAAATTTGTGCTGTCATCCAAGATTTAAATAGAGACCAATTGATTCCTCCAAATGTCTGAGTTTGTTCTCATGCCAAGTATGCAGTCTAAGAGAGGTTTATAGAGTTCTCTTAAAAAGTGAAAAACAAGAATCATATCACAGAGAAGTATGCGCACCCATGTGTATAGCGGCACAGTTTGTAATAGCTAAATCTTGGAAACAACCTATTTGCCCATCCGTTGGAAACTGGATAAAGAAGTTGTGGTTTTTCTATAAAATGGAATATTACTCAGCCATAAAGAGCGAGAGAATAGATTCATTCATAGGAAAATGGATACATATTGAAGATATACTCCTAAGTGAAATAAATAAGTCCCACATGTGTAAATACCAAATAGTTTCCCTGGTGTGAATATTCTGCAACAATGCATAAGATTCTAATAAGATTACTGACATTTAGAAATGGGAGGAAAGGAGCTAAAGGTGTAGGGAAGGTGTGATACGTAGGGGAAGAACAAAAAGGGAAAAGAAAAAAATGTGAGAGAATGAAAAGATGAAAATAAAGTGTTTGTAGATGGGGAGGGGAAGAGGGGGTGAAGGGAGGGCAGAGGTAAGGGGAAAAAATGAGAATCAAGACTTGCCATGTAAAGGTACATGATCCCAACAATGAATGTAACTGTACTGTATCCCTAAATGTACCAATAAACTCAATAAAAAAAAAAAGTGAAAAACAAATTGTTGATTTGTTTTACTACAAATAAATGCAACCATATGTCTAAATCATAATCTTCAACCTAAGAACTGGACTACTTTCATTACAATTTACTGCATGCAATACAACTGGGCTCTATTAAAAGTGCAGGATCTTAGGAAAAATTACATGTACACACGTGGGGAGGGTGTCATTTATCTCCATGCCCATACTTTCTGGGTAATAGGATTCCCTAGTCTGTGAGATTTCAGTGATGTGTCAAAATTCTGACTTCATTATAATTTTACAATTTTTACCTGTCAAAGCATAGCATACAGCACATGCACACACACACACACACACACACACACACACACACACATTCCTGGTATTTTCAGGCTTCCCTCATCAGTGAGCTTTAAATAAATGCATTTTGACTTCAGTTTTCCTTTTGTTCATGAGCCTTCACTGGTTTGATGAAAAACATTACAATTAAACTCCTCTCCTCAGTATCCTCGGGTTACTCCTTGGACTCCCCAGGTGAGTGCATTTATTGTATTCCAAATCAGTGCTGCCAATAAAACCACACTGATGCTCCTCCCATTGTCTCCTCTGCCCCAGCCCTTTCTGATAAGGTCCACCACATCTCTTGCTTTACCCTCCAGATGCCTGCAATGGTCTCACCACGACCACCATAGGTGATGCCCTGCCTGAGAGGTTAAGTATCTTGGAAAGGTCTCTGTCTCCCCAAGACTTCGAAATCCCACTTTGTAAGTACCCAGGAAATGATGCTGTTGTGCAAAAGACAAGTGACGCCCTTTCCTCAGATCTCTATTCCAGCACAAAATAGCAGTCTTCAATCTTATTGAAAGTCTCAAAACATGCCCTTTCTGTGAAGCCCAATGTTACTCCATTTTAAGCTAAAAAGCCATCTGGTGTCAGGCTTGCCCCCCGGATGAGCTCAGGCAGCAGAAATTTGTTTAGCTTGCTTAGTTGAGATAAGAGCAGAACCAAATGGGTGGGCAAGGCAACTCCAACCTTGAAAAGAATAAGAAAAGTAGGATGTCCTGTGCAGATAACCACCTCCCGGGCGCAAGAAGCAGAACACCCTGACCCCCGCCAAACTCCCCCTCCCATAGACTTAATGTTTCTTCCGCTTTCACAAACACCCCAGCAACATCCAACAGATTTAAAATATTAGAAGAAAAGCCAATAGAATAGAGAGAATTTCAAGCCACCCTAACCTCGTAAAGATAGGCTGAATGAGTGGGCCGGGGCTTGCAGCTTGTAGCCGCTGTGTCGGTGACACTGGAGGTCCAGGCTCGAGCTTGTAATAAACTCCTCTTGTGACAAAGGGCCATATCTTGCCAATTAATACTTTGCAATGATAAGGGAAATAGGGCTTCTCAAAGAAATGATTTGTTCCTAGCTATGGGATGGGGAAAGTGATATAAAGATAAACAAATCCATTTTTGTGCAAAAATTTAATGAAAAGATTTTTTAAATGTAGGGCATCTCATAAGGACAACGTTGCTGACACGAATGGTCTCCTACTGTACAAATCTGAAATAATTTGAGTGCCAAAGTAATTATGGAGAATAAAAAAGTATAAGCTATTGCAAAAAGGAAATAAATTAGGCCTTACTAATGATAAACTGATGGATAACATGACAACAGACAGATTATAAAGGTGTGTCGTCTAACAATAGAATGGGAAGTGACAAGGATAAATACGGAGAAAGCACTGGATTTGTAGCATTATAATTTTGGAACCATCGTATAAATATTGGTTCAGGAAAAAATCACCAATGGATGTTAACTTTGATGAGAACCAGATATTTAAATGTTTAAAGTGGTTCTGGGCAAGATGGCTGCTTGGGCAGTGGCAAGAATGCAGCTCCCAGCATGCCTAGCAGCTGGCCCAGGAGCCTGACTCCCAGTGATGGGCCCCCTGCGGAGCTTTAGGCCGTTGAGTTTGCTGTAGATTCTTTGGTGGAGCTCGGGGCCTGGGAACTGGACGCCCGTGGAGGAAAAGATGGAAGCGTGGTACTGTATACCTCATGTTTCCCCATCACTCAGGAGTCTGGGAGGAGACCGAACTACACTTGCAGAGGGAGAACCTGCAGCAGTGCTGCTGGAACAGGAATATTTGTAGTTGCTTGAGGTGGCCCAGACACTATGCTCGCACTCCCTACCCATACTTGAATAGCAGGCATTTCTCACTGAAGTGGAGGCCACCTTGTTTGTCTGCATCTAGGGTTCAGTTTCCGTACTGTAACTGGAGATCCGACCACCTGAACCCGACAGATGAAGCATCTGTCTACTTATGTCATGAACTCAGAGGGAGATGAGCCTTCATCAAAGAGAAGAAAATACCAACTCATGATGAAAAGGAAGTGGGAATATGTATGCAAGGATAATAAAGAAAATGCCAAGATCCTGGAAGACAAAAATGTCAATCCCAAGTGTGAAGATAGTGAGAACAACTTTGACTTTTCAGTGATGTCCTATAATATACTTCCACAAGATTTATTGGAAGACATTTCACACCTTCACAGACACTGCTGGTGGCCAATATTACACTAGAGTTTCACATTCCCCAATATTCTGAAAGAAATTAAACACTTCAATGCAAATGTACTTTGTTTCCTAGAAGTTCAAGAAGATCATCATGGAGCAGAACTCAGGCCAAATCAAGAATCACTGGATTATCACTATGACTATAAGATGTGCACAGGAAGTCCAACGGCTGTGCTATTTGCTTCAAACGTTCCAAGTTTTCACACTTAGCAGTGAACCCAGTGGAATTCTACCGTGAGATATCCCTCTCTTGGACAGAGACAATATTGGATTAGTTTTACTCTTGCAGCCCAAAATTCCCTGTGCTTCCTCTCCTGCAATCTGTGTAGCTAACACACATCAGTTGTACAACCCGAAGCAAGGTGATATTAAGCTGACCCAGCTGGCAATGCTTCTGGCAGAGATTTCCAGTGTTGCTCACGAGAAAGATGGCAGTTTCTGTGCGGTGACTTTAACTCTGTTCCTGGTTCTCCACTGTACAGTTTCATAATTATCTTCAGATTTACAGCACCATTTCAGCTTGTCCTCTGTTTACTCACATTACTTTCCTGACACTGGAATTACAGAAGCGATCACCTGTTATTCCCACAGTGCCATAACTGTGGGTTATATTTTCTACTCTGCAGAAAAGAAAGGCATTGCGGAGCAACCAAGAGCTGAAGTTGCTTTGGGTGGTGGCTTGAAACTTCTAGCTAGACAGTCACTTCTTACAGAGCAAGACCTGCGGACTGTTAATGGACTTACAAATGGAAGTAACTCTTCAGATCATCTGCCTTTATTGGCTAAGTTCAGACTTGAGCTCTGACTCGTCTCTGATCATGC